TAATTGACTTTTTGGATTAAAAACATGGTCAACAAGTTGGCCATGTGCCATACATGTTGTTAGCTTGAAGATCAAGCTAACTATGTGGCACACACGTAGAAAAACTTGCCTTATAAGTCAAGGCATGTGTCCTACAAAGTCAACACATATTGGAGGTCCTATAGAACGTCGCCATGTAGCCCCTAGTTAGATAGTATATATAGAGACAAGAGTGAAGCCTTCTTCACTCTTGTCAACTCCTTTCTTGCTTCTAGTCTAGTTTCAAGGGTCTCTAGTTTTCTTGTCTTTTGGCAATAGCCATTCTAGTTTCTTTTTCAATATACATACTTATTTATTTATATTTTGTTACCTTTCTTTGAGTGAAGGCTCACTTGTCTGAATTTCTTTTTCATCGAGTTTTGGTCCTTGATGGTAGATAGTCTACAACCTTCAAAATATAATAGTAGAATTAGAGTAGTCCACTTACTTCTAAAAACAAAACATGAACAATGAATTAACATTTTTATTAAATTATAAAGGACGTGATTCTTAACAAACCAAAAATTCAATATATGGTTGTATAACTAAATAAGAATATTCATTCAAAATTAATATAGCATTGAAATTAGAATTACTATTTCTAAAGATAAGAAGATTAAAAAGTCTTAAAACATGGCTAAAGATTAGAAAGACATTGACAAGAATGAAGAAGGCTTTATTTTTGCCTTTGTATATACTATCTAACTAAAAGCCATGTAAAGACATTCTATAAGACCTTTGATATTTGTCTAGTTTACAAGACACATATTTTAATTTATAAAGCAAGTTTTTTATATATGTGCCACATTGTTACCTTGTACCACAAGCTACCAATATATGCAACATATTGATAATTTATTGGCAAAGTTCTTAACCTACCAATTCTCTGTAGACATGTATAAAGATGATACCACATCTATAAAGCTTCTAAAAAAACTATCCTACAAGATATTATCAAATTAATTTGCTTTTATCTATTCATAATATCTATATAACTATTAAAATAAATATGAATATTTACAACATCGATCCAAATTGCACTTTATCTTTTTGCTCAATATCTTTTTATAGAGAGGTTTTTTTGCTTTGTTGTGTGATGAGCAAGGTTTTGTAAGTGTTTCTTAATGATGGAGTCTTCTAGCTATGCCATCAAAGAAGAAAATCACAAGATATGCTATATTTGAAATTTAATGCATCTATCTTTGTTTTTATCTATTGAGTGTTTAAAAAGGATTGCAGTTCTTTAGATAAACTTGTTGAAAGTTAGATGATAGTAATAAGTTAATTTCTTCAAAGATACCATCATCATATTTTATAATATTATGGCTATGTAATTATTGCCATTGTATACTACTGCACTTATTAATAAATATTGTTGTAGATAGCTTTGCAAATTAAAGTTGCATGTGTAATTTGGAAAGTTTGCTTCACAATCACCACATTACAATTATGAATGTTTGTAATACAATATTAAAGTAATTTATAGAAAGTTATATAAATTTTTACACATAACTAGTGATAGTTATAATTATTCTTTCAATAAGCTTGAAATAATTGAATAGATTTTTTTAGTTAGAGTTTCATCAAAAGATTTTGTATGAAGTTACATGAGGGCTATTACATGCTCTTATAGTAATTCACCTTACTTCTACAAATTCCATTCATCTCATGAGACAATATATTTAGAAGGATTATTTGTTGCTTTAGAACTAAGTCAATAATTTTGAAAAAAATATATTTTTGCATTAGATCTCTAAAAACAATGTTATTTTAGAATAGTATTTCAATTACATTTTTTACATTATTACTTCATAGTTTTTATGTAGAAGGTGATATTATTAAAGCTATGATATATATTTCATGCTAAATTATAATATATTTTAAAATTTTAGATAGAATCCCAAAAAATTTTAAAAACTTAAAGATTTTTTATTAATAATATTTTGGTATTTAAATATTACTTGATTTTAGTAATATTACAAATGTAAGATAACTTAAAGTTGAATTCTAGTATTACTTGTTATTTTTATGTTATTCAATTTTATAAAGAATTTTCTATAATTATCATATGCAAATATAAGAGTGATCTAAATAGTAAATCAAGTAGTTTTCTTATAATGGATGTAAAATTTGATTTATTGATAAAATTTGATATTTAATTTACAATCAATGAAAAAAATGGAGGTGCCATTATGAAAAATAGCTCAATGATGTAATACATTTACAAGTCCTTGAATGACTCAAAACCTATCCATACTATAATCATATTGATGGAGGTGTCTTAATACATTAAATTATGATAAGAAGTTGGGTTATTTCAAAAGAATACAATATCATGAAATCTAAGGGTATTAACATGAAGTAATTTTAGATCTTAGGTTTTAGATGATTGTGTCTTTAGAGACATTCTCAAGTGGTAGTTTTTAAAAGATTTGAAAAACTGAAATATACATAAATCAATGACTATTCATCATGATGCATTAATTAAATTGGTTTGATGTATTTGATATGTATATGCACACAAAGACAAGGGCATTCTTCAATTGCAGTAAAAGAACACTTTTGCAAGTAAATGTGGGGCACTAAAAATTAAAGAAGAGAAGAAAAGGGAGAGCTACAAAAGTTGAAAGAACCAAGGTACCATCAAGAAAAGCCATGCAAAAAAGGACACGTAAAAAAATGTGAAGAGGAAGGAAGCAATAAAGATGCATCAAGAAAAAAAAGTATGCAAATACATACAACAATATAAATTCAAGAAGTGTGTAATTAATATACTTTTTTGATGCAAAAAATAAAGACGCATCCGCAAGGTTAATTAGATTGTTTATTCAATTTTTTCTATTAAATAAATATTTCTAGAGAAGAAAATATTTGGTTTTTCAGCAAATATTGAATTGGCTACAATAAGATCCAAAGAGAGAACATATATCAGCATGAATAATGTAATTACAATTAAAGGAGCTAGAACTATAGGCCAATTCAAGAAAAAATAATTGCACCTATCTATCTATACATTTGTTTAGGCTATTGGGATTTTATTTTTTTACTTCAATATTTAACCAAATATAAGTCACACATTTTACTTCAATAGATTATGTAATATGACTTATATTTTCTCTTTGTTTAATTGAAGGTCAGATCTATTTTTTTAATATTACACATGCTTACTCAATTTACAACTTAAGAAGTATATAATCAATTTCTTGGAAAAATGTAAAATCTTCTTTAAAGTGTTTGGAAGTGTTTATTTTTACTTTTTGGATTCTATGATGATTTCAAGTTTCCAACACCATTCATAAGGCTCTAAAGCTTGCATGCGATATATGATCTTAGTGAACATTTTTTTTTTTTATCATAGTTAAAAGTTTATTGTAGGATAAGATTTTTAAATACTCTGATTGTGGAAAGGACACATTTTCATGGTGTAGGAGGATATAAATAGAATTTAAATTTTATAAAAAATAATTTTGAAGATCTTTTTTATAAAAATAAAACACAATTGGCTATCTTTTAATATGATTCATGTAGTAGATGTATGTGTGTAACATAAGGAACTTGAAGAATATAGAAACAACATAAGAACTAAGAAACACAAAAAATTATACATGAAGAAAAGAATAGATGAATGTATCAAAAACCACAATGTTCAATAACATTAATCTTTGTTAGAAAATATGAATATGTAGTAAATTAGATATATGTTTACTAATTACACTGAAGAAATAGAAATGGTTCTATTGTTATGCATATATATATATATATATATATTCTTAATCAATGTTTTTTTAGAAGTAATTATTTTTTCCTTAGCAATTACAAATTTAAATTTTATATCTTTTTTGCAATCAATAGCATGGATTTCTACTAGTCTGTATGTATATCATTATCATCATCATCATTATAATTTAAATCACAATAGTTAATCATATCATTATTATATTATGAAAATGTACTTATAATTTATTTAATTTAATAAAAATATTAAATATTATTTTATAATAATTAAACATATATTTGATAAATAAATTAATTAATTTTTAAATATTTATGATTAATAATAAAGAAAATAATATTTTTTAATTTAAAAATTATAGATTTTTAGTACAAACTCTAAAATTCATGTTGTATATTTAAAAGAATACCAAGCAAAGAATAAAGAGTCTACAATTTTTAAATGCTTAGATGAGTTGCAATTAAAAAGTTTTACTTAGTTGGTTTTTGTACTTAGAAAAATCAAATCAAAAGTTACAAGAGAAAAAGATGAGATTGAATGTACTTTTATTTGTATGGCATAAAAAATAATGTCTTCCAATTTTTTTTGTTAAGTTCATTTTAAAAAAGATTTCTTTCCAAAAAAATTGAAAAGAAATGTTTTTTAAATACAAAAAATAGTTTTTTTAATACATATATATATATATATTATTTAAATTAATTTTTAGAATAAATATAAATAATGATATATTTAAAATAATATTTAAATTTTTATTTGGTTCATTTCATTGATTCTTCTTACTCTATGCTGTCTCTAAAAGCAAGGGCTTTAAAAAAAATTAAAACTAAAAATTAAAATTAAAATCTTTACCAAAAGAGGGACCTTTGTAAAGGTTTTGTACTACAGGTTTTTAAATCATATGTATTTATTTAATGATAAACATAAAACTCATATTAATAATAAATTTATGAATCATGTTATAAATAAAAAATTAAGTAAAAGTCTTAAATGTTTAAAAATATATAATTTGAGTTCAAAATCTGCATATTCAAAACTAAAAGTATATTATCTAAAATGTTTTCAAAGGTTTCAACTTAAAAGTAACTTGGACAGGAGTAATTCTACTGTATCCTATACTATACTAAACATACATATTCATTCGGGAGAATACGTATGGCGAGATCACGGAGATCCATCGGGATCCTATCACCAACCCCCGATGAGCAGGCTCCTTCCACCGTGTCTATTTCATCTTCCGGTGCCGCCAATTCCGCGGCTCCACTGTGTGGGTTTCTCCCAACCGGCCCCCCTCACGCCAAATCGAGGCAACAGATCCCGAATTCAGGAATCGGAGATAGAAGAATTGGTAGTCTTGCGCAATGTGTGGTGTCGAAAGAGCGATGTTGAGAGATCGAGGTTTGGGGATTTTTCTCTTCAGGAATCCGTGTGATGGGCCGGCTGTGCACTTTCTTGCACGCTGCTTGGAGATGTAATGTTGCACTGATGATGCAAACGTTTATTTCTTTTGCTTTACCTGATGATTCTCCCTCACTGGAGCATGAGGATGTGTTTCTATGAAGGTTTTGCGACGTCCTCTGGAGCAGATTAGGGGACTCGGGTTTACACTATCCATTTCTATGAAGGTTTTGGGTTTTGTAAGTGATGAGTAGACCCTCACTGTATGAGCAGGACATGGAAGAATGCTGGCTTTACTTGCATTGTAGATTTCGATTGTAGAAAGAGGTGCTTGGGTTTGTGGTTTAGGGGGTGTTTGTTCAATTGTGATGGAATGTTTCACCGAGATGGCGGGCGGATTGGTCAAGTAAACAATGTGCGCAAATTGGGTTCGTGGGTTTTTGTTCCAGTGGAATAGATGAGGTGCACTCAGTTAGTCGTGGTGGTCGCAGACTCGTTGTGTGATCATTATTGAAGTTTTCAATGGGAGTCAAAGCCTTCGTGCATCGGGGTTTGATAATTCTACCAACGGAATGCCGCAGCCCGCCATTTTTGATGCTTCGCATTGGCCGCTACGACGGAAGTCAAGAGAATTATGTCCCAATCAACGATGACGGGGGCAGTCTGACATTACCGCTTGCAGGGGACGAGCATGTTGCCGCTCTGGACAGTGTTGGATGTCGGAAGACGGGCCTAATGTGCACATGTCTTGTGCTAGCCTCTAGGGAAAGACTCAGGATTGGTAGGCTGGACATCGAAAACTCGACTTATGAGGTTGCGGGGTCGATCTCGCTAGCAGAGGAAGGAGATGTTGGGGAGTGCCTCCAGTGTTGGCTCGTTGATGGACCAACTCTTGTAGCGTGGTTTGGGAGTAAAGTAGTGGTGGCCTCAGATAGGCAGGAACACATTCTACCTTATCTTGCGTTTGAGCGCCACAGCTGTTCCAGTTGGAAGGCTGACATGCTGGAGGGGTCATTTCAGCGGGTGTTTGTTGCCGAAAATCAAGTCTTGTGCGTTTCTAGCGTTGCTGCGAGTGCTTCGTCTTCTGCACAGTAAGGTTAACTACTGGTTTCCTGCCTGTTCGTTCCTTCATTGACCTAAGTCGCTGAAGCGTCTGCATTCTTTGTCTCGAGCCATTCTATGGTGTGAGGTTTTAATTCTTTGATTCTTACTGTGCACACCCGATTGTGCAGATACGCCAATCTTCAATGTTTCACACTCCCGTCTGAAAATCAAGTCGGTCGATACTCTCCGACCCTTACCGAAATTGAGCTTCCTTTGGAGGTGGATCCATGTTCGATTACCTGTGTGGCGTATTTGGCGACAACGCTCAACTTGTCATATAAAGTCGTGTTCGGTACCAGTGAAGGAAGACTGAAGTGCTGCTCTCGTGGTAAAGTCGTCATGGAGGTTACGCTGGAAGACTCTCCTCTTTCAGTGCATTCTGCAGAAGCGGCACATGGTGTTCAAGTGTTGGTCGTTAGTTTGGGTGGAATGGATCGTAAAGTCGTAACACTGTTCGCAGATTCTCTCCGTCAAATTAATGCATGGACAGGAGTTCAACAGGTAGATATCGGTTCTTGTTCTGTTCTGCTTCTCGAGACCTTTCGATTTTGTTTTTTTGTTGAGTTCTTCTGAGTGTTGTGTTCATATTAGTGGATTGCGAATAGGTAGGGATGTTTATTTTCGTCCAGAAGTCCTTTGAAACCAATATGTTTTCACCTGTATTTGGAAATATATCTAATCTATACCAAGGTGTGGGTATCATCATGTAGATAGCGCTTAGCATAACTGTGGTCCCTCCAATAGTTATCAGATGTACAATTAATTCCCTTGATAATTATTGCAGGTGATTGTGGATGATCTTGCAGGGATTGGGCACGATCAAATGTTACTGGTCACACAACCGCTGTCTTCAACAGCATCCTTCGAGCATTGTCTTCGTATTTCCCTTCTTGAATTTGCTCCTCAAAGTGCAGGTGATAAGCATAAGAGCAACATTCTCAAGTCCGTCAACGAAGCTTTGGAGATTCGTCTGCAAGATGGAATGAAGGAGGTTCAAGAAACCGAGCAACGGAGATCAGACAAGATGCTTATGTTGAGTGCTGCTTGCAACTTGATGCAAAGCATTGCGGTGCATCAGTTGGGTAGTAAAATTGAGGACATGATTGTCCCAGATGATGCAGTATGTATGGAGTCTATACAAGTGCAGGAAGCATATATGGGAAGATGGTTTCTGGTCATCAATGTAAATGTAAATAAGAACGTGCCTGAAGGGTTTCACTTACGTCGACCCACTCTATTCGCAACAAGCTTGCTCGGCTTCGTCAAAAGCATGGCTTCCCGTCTCCCATCTCAGGCGAACTTGCAAAGTTTCCTCTTCTCCTTTCCAATTAAGGACTGCCACTTCCCGCTTCACATTATTTTGGCAGCTGAAGCTAGCGGAAACAAGAACATGTCATCAGCATGGGATCCAGTAGGAGCAAGCTTCAATGTTCAAGACAGCCAACGTAGCAAAAATTATCGCACCTACACCCAATGGATACACACAATTGACACTATTGACACAGACTATGAATCTAATGCCGCTGGGTTTTTGGGTACCCATACGGCCTTGTGCGAAAGATGGATATCTCTGATGGGCGGTGCTGACAGTCCTCATCATTTGAGTGTACTTGTGAAGGCTGTTTCAATGCACACAACTTCAGGGAATTATACGTGGGGCAGCTATGGTAGTTCCAAGGAATGCGAAAGGCAGTACGTGACAGAGGGGCAAACCAAGGCACCTCTTTCATCGATGTATATGCACGATGTTTCACTTGCGAGGAACATTGTAACTACAAACTTCTTGGGCACACTGTCAAAATTGTATGGTCCAAGGCTAGCAGAGATGGTGGTCCAATTTGCTGATGTAGTGCTGGAGGAGATCCATAGCTATGTGAATGAGGGCTCGGATGCCTGCTTAGCCGAACTGCAAGCTGCCACTGATCGGTGTTTGTGTCACTTGCTTTCGTCAATCACTTATAACAGTTTTGGGGACTTTTGAACACCAGTGAAGGTGGGTAGCCCCTTGGCATAGGATCACCCATTTTTTACGAGTAGAGTGTTGGATTTGCATCCTACTGAACCCAAGAATTATCTTGTTATGTTTGGCGTACTGTGCCAAGTGGAAAATTTCCTTACTATGAAAACTTAACCTTCATACTAGCTTTCAGCTGAATTTCCTGAATGGTAGTGCAGAGTTGTGGAGTTCAAAGTGAATAACTTGTCAAAAGTTGAGTTCTCAGTATGCAAACTTAGCACAAGATTCATAAGCGATTCACACTTAAGCTGTTTTAAAAGTCTGAGTCTTGTAATGTTGTTTGAACTCAAAACGAGCAGGCTTGTATTGCACCAATGTAAGCGTGTATTTGCATGTTGCCCTTCTGAAACATGAAATGCAAAGGTTTTAAAACATGAAATAAAATGTGGTTTTGAAGGAACCAAAAAATTCTATAAAGTTTAGTTTTTTTCTAAATGATTAAATAATATATATACATACATATATCTCAATGTATATCTTCGAAATTTTTAAATTGTTCTAATGTGAAAAAATTATTTAATGAGTTAAATAACAGCTAAAATTTAAAGAATTTAATATGGCAAATCTTTAATGTGAAAATCCTGGTTGGATTTTATTAATTTATTAGTTACACACGTTATTTACTAATATAACAATTTTGAAAAGAACAAAGTATATATATATATATATATATATATATATATATTTAATATAAGTTATATATTATTGATTTTTATCTATGCAAAGATTTGTGAAAATTAAATAGGTATGTTTTATTTGTGATGTATTAGAATTTTTTGTTGATAAATTAGATACATTTTTTCTCTCTTAACAAATCTATGTGTATAAATTTATATTAGAAGCCAATAGCTTAACATATATGATTATAAATAATTTATATTTGATAGCTGCTTTTAGAATGAGTGTATTTTTTTCTTACATATTTGAATTTAAAAAAAAAGGTAAGAACACAATTCTTGAAAAGTAAAGGATGAAAAAAATGATGAAAAAAAGAAAAAGAAAAATAGAAAAATAGAAAAATCACCAGATTTATAATTTATTATAAGAATTTAACCCCAAGACCTATAACACTATGTCACATTTATCTAGCACCTGTGCTATAGTATATTATTTATGCTTTTCCATGAAAATTTCAACTATATATATATATATATATATATGAATAAATCAGGATCTTGTTGCCCACTAAGTACAAGGAGCCATGCTTGGTAGATAACATGCATGAGAAAACTTTTCTTCATAAATATTATCCCATAAACAATTATCTAGTTCTATCAGAAGACAATCTTAAGATTATAAAGAATATTGATAAAAACAGCTAATGTAAAAAAATAAAAATCTTGTTTAATAAAGAAAATAAAATTATTGAGGATATAAACTAGAATATTTATTAATTAATTGTACCTCTCCTCCTTTCAAATAATTACTCCCTCCTGCCTATACAAAATGGTTACACCAATTGTTTCTGCACACACACTAACAGAAAATTAAACTAGGCTACAATCACCTACCTACGTTGCCACATCAAGAGATGGTTTAACATGAACATTGATCCACACTCTCATCCCCCACACCAAACATTTGCATACCATCAAATCTACCCATTTCTATACACACATGGAGAATTGGCCCAGAATGAAGATAGAATACGAAAACATTGAAGGAGTGCGGCGATTGTACATCACTGTCCCGAGTCAGCACGCGGTGTCGGCACCGTGTCTTCACCGACACCATGTCTAAGGTGTCAGTTTTGGTGACAAAAGGTGACAGTTTTGGTGTGCATGGGACGTCGGACCCCCCCCCCTACACGACTGCAGGAAAATCGGTCCATCCCTTTCGCAAGTGCGAAGTTCCCCAGGTGAGACTTTAATGCACACTCTCCCTAACAAATTATACAATCTTTACACATGAGTTTCTGTTGCACATCGTGCATTGTTGCGACTTGAAGGTGGGCCGAGTCGTGGCGTCGGTTCCGCTGGGGATGAGATTGTGAGACCCTGATGAACGTCCTCATCTCTGGCTTCTCTCCCGCTGCGAAGATTGGTTCCATTCAAAGCATTGGCGGTGCTTGTTTCGTGAAGGAAGGATTCAAATCAGGGGGGAGACCAAGCACTTGGCATGTATTTGTCATGTGGGCCCGTGTTGTGTAGCTGCATTCTTTCCGGATCGGAGGTCTCGTTTGGGTCAAGGATTTGGATCGCAGCATTGCGAGTTTCCAGCATCGGCTCTGTGTTGGAACCTCCGGTAAATCCTTCCTTCAATAGCTGGAGTGCCAGATACACTTCACGAGCTTCTCTGCAGAAATTTGGCCATTTCTGAATGGAAATCCGCTTAAACTCCGGTTTGAACTGTTCCGGATTACGATTAGATAGTGAAAGTGAAGTAGAAGTTGACCTTCTATCCGAATAGGTTTTTCCGCTTCAGTACAATTGAAGATTGCTTTTCACCTGAGCGATAGTGAGTTCGGGGAAGTTCACGTGCTGGGGTATCCTCTTTGACGTCGCTTCTGAACAAGCACAAAATCACGCGGACATGAATCGTCTATTTGACGAATCCAGCAATTTTCTCCAATGCAAGTTTTTCGTGTCACACGTTTGCGATTGATTATGGTAAAATTAGTGAACTGGTCATCAGCCTGAATTGACAATTCTTCATTTTTTGCTAGATCAACTGCAGTCCTATCACCTGCAATTGAAAAGTAAACGAACATTGACTATGTATTTAGGGCAAATAAGCTCACTGCTTTTCCCTCCAAAGTAGTTCACGGCGCAAAGAAAAGTATGGTGCAGTCCCAGTGTCCACTTGATTTTGTACATGCTTGAGCGAACATAAGGGCGAACATTGCTCGCCTCTCGCTGATACTCCACCATTGAGTCTTCAACGACAAAGACGGTTTTTCTGCTGCTCCTCCCTGCGGAATCACAAGATAGCGTTGCCTAAAGGATCAATTCTCCTAAGGCTCAATCCGACACAATGTGCATTCTCACACCATTCACGTTCAGACAATCCATGCGCAGTAGAATGCAGACTTTGAATTGAGCTGGTAGAATGCAGCTCATGGCCCTGGTAGAGTGCAAACGAATGCCCGCCTCGTTGTTGAGCCAACAAGCTCCTGGAGCTCTTTGTCCATGAAAAACTTCGCAGAACTGAAATGGGTTCCAACACACCAAGTTAAGATCAATCACACAGGACATGAAAGGCAAGATGTTAAGTGCACAATCACGATGTGTACTCTTTGCTACGCGAAAGGAACAATCGCCACTTCGTCTCTAAACATGAACCTTGCTCCACCGAAGAAGCTCGCCACTCAATTCTGCTTTCTATCTTTGCAATAGCTTCGTGCGCACTCTGTCCTCTACACCCAAGCTGGGACTACATACAACAGTCGGAGATACCGTTTTTCTAGACGTGAGTTCCGCCGCGCAAATTGATGGGCTGTAGCACTCCACTAAAAGACGCGGAATAGAGTATGTGGAAGCATTGAGCTTCTAAAAACCAGGGTTCTCGACCAATAGACCCCTGGGTACTGATTCTTGTGATGCTTAACCTGTAAATATAACCACATTCTGGACTGTGCTAAATTTGAATGTTGAGTAGAATTATAATATCTCTATCTAGTGGCTAACTTGGCAATAATTTGTCTTTATTGAAGAAATACAACAAGTAAGATACAATAATTTGTCTTTATTAAAGAAATACAACAAATAAGATACAAGTAAGTAGAAATTAAAAATATTTCATGCAAGAGAAGTGTGGAATGAGATGCCTCTCTCTTCCAACACCTTTTACTTATAGAAGGAATTTACATCTATTGTAATTGAACTTTATCTATAATCATCTTCATCCATCTAACTAAATCCTACATTCTTCTTAATTTAGTTTCCATAATAGTAACTTCACTATTTTTTAATTATTAGCAATTTATCTAAAATAATATTATCTTATTATTACTTTAATATTTTTACTTTGATATTGATCAAAGGCTTTTAAACCTAATGCTTTAGTCAACTTTTGATACATATTCTTTACTAGTACTTTTATTAGTAAATCAGTAAGTATATCTTTTGTTGCATAATATTTCATGTTAATTACTCCGATTTCAAACTTCTCTCTAATGGAGTGATATTAAATGTCAATATACTTGATTCTTGAGTGATGCTTTGGATTCTTTGCAAAAACAAGATATCTTTGATTATCACACTTTATTGGAGCTGCTTTCAATTGCACAAGTCCAATATCTTCTAAAATTTGTCTTAGCCAAATTGCTTATAATTGCACCTTGACTTACTGCCATATATTCCACCTCCATTGTAGATCTTGTAATTGTTGGTTGTCTCTTATAATTCCATGAAATTGCTCCTATTCCAACTAAAAAGACATATCTTATTGTTGACCTTCTATCATTTGCATCTTCAACCTAATTTGTATCACAATAACTATGCAATACAATATTATCTCATCTAAAACACAATTTGAAGTTCAAAGTACTTTTTAAGTATCTGTCAAGGACAAAGACTCGATGAGGGAAAATATACACAAAAAGGCTATCTCGATATAATAAGTCAAAATATAAACAAGTAGGTATATTAAAAGGAAACTGGAATGGCTATTGCCACAAGACAAGAAACTAAAGACTCTTGAACCTGGACTAGAAGCAAGAAAGGAGTTGATAAGAGTGAAGAAGCCTTCACTCTTGTCTCTATATATACTATCTAACTAGGGGCTACGTGGCGACGTTCTATAGGACCTCCAATATGTGTTGACTTTGTAGGACACATGCCTTGACTTACAAGGCAAGTTTTTCTACGTGTGGGCCACATAGTTAGCTTGATCTTCAAGCTAACAACATGTGTGGCACATGGCTAACTTGTTGACCACGTTTCTAATCCAAAAAGTCAATTAAAAACACCTATGAAGTCAAAGCAGCGTCTAGGAAGTTTCTAGGAAGCTTCTATATTAAATATTATAGAATTAACTTACTTTTATCTACTTTTACTTACTTCTACCTATTTCTATATGTAATTATTAGCTTACATGATTATGGCCGTGACATTACCCTCCCTTCTAGAGACGAGTTCCACGAGGAGCGATCATCATATGTTGAGGAAATCTATGATGCGACGAATTGTATTCGCCACATA